CTTAAGTCACGAGCTCAGATCTCATCCCCGGATAAGTCACAAATGACCCAAGAGTTATAAGGTGACCAAAAAATTAAAGGTTGACCGAAATGGCCTTCCTTTGGCTATAAGTGTCACTTATAATCTGGAATCTAACCCGATAATCTTGAACAATTTTCCAATACCAGAATCTTGGCATTTGTTCTCAACCTTCTGAACTTCTGAATATTGACAATTTATGTTAAGGATCTTGAATTTCTGTACACGAAATTAAAAATTTGACTGAACTATTTCTTTGGAAGTTATCTCAGGATATGTTTGCAAATTTCTCAAGGATTTTCTTAGGATAATTTCAAAATTTTATCTGAATTACTTTTACCATCAGGCGTACCCTTAATAATAGAATGATTTTGTCCAATATTTTCCATGAAAGTTCCAAAATTCTGTGCAACCCTAAAAATCTTGAAATTCACTCTACATTTATCTTTGAATTCTTATAAATTCTCGCACAAATGTGCTTAAATTTGTCTTAATTTTATTCTTAACATTCACTTGAAATATTCCACAAAATCTCTTGGAATGGCATTTAGAAGTATTTTCCCAAAATTTTGCTTGAAGCTAACTCCGGAATTCCATAAAAGTTTCATCCGAATTAGATTCCCGAATTTCCTTGCAGTTCTCTTCAGAATTTATCTTTGATAATTTAATCGATCAACATTTAAAAAAATGTTCAGCCGCAGGTCATCATTAGGTGAAGTTTCGGGATTGTAGTCATATCATCATTAACAGTCATTCTACCGAACCTGCAAAATACGTGGCGTTGATGTGAACGGATTTACTTTTCGACAACGTAGTCAGAGAAGTTAAGTTTGCCTTACGATTAATTCACTGTGCATTGAATCCTGTTTCGAATTCTCTTTAATTGCTCCTTGCAATTCCTTCCGACTTGATTTACAGTTCTCATGAATTTTACTCATAATCCCATTAATAGTCTCTTTAGAACTACCTTAGAAATCACCTGTAGTTCTCCATAAAAATTTCTTTAAATACTTCTCTAAATTGCCTGAAATTTCAAGTCGAATTCTGTTGAAAATGCCCCCAGAATTCCTCTACATGGCATCTTCATCTTAAATTCACTAGCCAATGCTTTGAAGTGTCAGAATCCTAAATTTGTGTTCTAGTCCAACAACCATAATTCTTTTTTTTAATCTGAGATCTTTAAAGTAAGCAAACAATTTCACATAGTTCAGGTTTTATGTCGCGAGACCGTCGCACTAAGGTGGCACTTATCCCGTCATCAGGGGCAGGAAATAAAACGCGCACGTAACTATAAATACTAATTTATTACGGCACTACTAAAAACAGTCACGCGACACAAAACAATCTAAAAACATTCTAACTTGCTTGACAACATAATGTTATTGTTTTGCTCTTGCTGTTGCTTCACACGAGTGGCAGCTATGTTGATGCCGTCGGTGAGGCCTGCGATAAAGATAGGGCAACTGGCAGTGTTGCCAAATCCATTTTCGTTGTCTGCAACATCTCCCCTCTTAATAGCGCTGGTAGGGGTCAAACCATCGAGGCTGCCTTCGAAGACGGGAAGAGCGCCGAAGTAGAACTTCTACCGGTTCGGTTTCAGCTGCTAACTCGAACTCAGTTGATGTTGCTGTCGTAGAAGACATTGACGACATCGATGTACTCGTGGTCGCTGGTGAACTACATCTCGGTGACGGCGGCAATGATTGAGGCGTCATCGGATTCGTAGTTGATGAAGAGCTAGAGGCTTGCGATGATGATGATTGGACGGGCTCGTCCGGTGCAAGCGACGACGGTGACTGAGGTAGGTTTCAGGCAGACATCAGGACGTTCAACGGAAATGAACTGTGTGAGCTCACGGCTTGTCTGACTGGTAACTTGGCATTCGAACTCGTGGAATTTCGACTACGCAACTGGTTGACGTGCGAGCGCAGCATCCGAGCATCGGTCCACACGTTATACATTACGTTACCGATTCGCTCGAGAACTATGCCAGATACCCATTTCCAGGTGTTTTTGGTGGTGTAGACCTTGGCGTAGACAGCATCGTCGCGGTTGAACGATCGTCGCTTCTGTTCTTTCTGCTCTTCTGGAACTGCCATGGGCGCGGGAGGCGGGCGTAACAACTCAAGGCTGGTTCGGATTTTACGGCCGAACATAGCCTCTGACGGCGTCTTGTTTTCTGGTACAGAGTGATTTGGCGTGCTCCTGTACGTGAGGAGAAACGTATCGATTGCTTCATCCATTGTTCCTCTTCCCTCTCGGATCTTCTTGACGGCCCTTTTGAATGTATCCACGAAACGCTCTGCTTGTCCGTTTGATTGTGGATGGAACGGGACTGTCGTGAGGTGCTCGATGCCGTTCGTAACACAGAATTTGCCAAACTCTGCGGTGGTGAATTGTGTTCCGTTGTCCGAGACCAGTGTAACCGGCATCCCCAGTCGAGCGAAGAGTCCACGCAAGATGGCAATTGTGGATATCGATGTAATGCTGCGCGTTTTGACAATCTCAGGCCATTTGGAGTAAGAGTCGACGACGATTAAGAAGTAGTCACCATCGATTGGTCCGGCGTAATCGATGTGAACGCGTTGCCATGGGTCAACTGTTTTCGGCCACGGCATCGGTGTAGCATGAGGAGGAGACTTCGCAACGGACGCACACTGCGCACAGGCCTTGACGTAACCAACGATGTCTTCGTCGAGTGACGGCCAGTACACGTAGCTCCTGGCAATCGCTTTCATCCGCTGCATACCCGGATGGCCTCGATGAAGATGGTCCAAGCATCGTTTTTGGTGTTTCGATGGAATGACGAGTCGTTCGGCAAACAGAATGCACCCATCCACTACGGTGAAGGATTCCAGTCTGGCGTGGAATCGTTTGATCTCCGGTTCGACTTGCTTAGATTGCGGCCAGCCGTTTTGGATGTACCGGTAGACCTTGCGTAGAAGTGGATCGGCCTGGGTGCTTTGCGCGGCGACTCTGAAATTAAGGGGAAGAACATTAAGTGAATCCGCGGCTACTGACCTGACATCTTCCTCCAGTGTAACGCTAGCGATGATATAATCCTCTTCTGGCTTCGCATGTTGGCTAATTAGTCGGGACAGTAGGTCGGCATGGCCGAACTTCTCAGTCGGAACGTACTCGATGTCAAAGTCGTACAGAAGTAACGTGAGGGCAAAACGTTGCAACCGATTAGCCGTATACACCGGGATACCTTTCTTGGAGCCGAAGATTCGAACCAATGGAGCGTGGTCGGTTTGAAGGCGGAAGCGCCGACCAAAGATCATTTTGTGAAACTTCGTAACTGCGAAGATGATAGCTAGACCTTCTCTATCAGGCTGACTATAGTTCTGCTCCGCCTTGGTGAGTGCTCTCGAGGCGTGCTGCACCACCTTGATGGAGCCATCGGAGAATTTATGGCTGATTGTGGCCCCGAGACCGACTGATGAAGCATCGGCGGACACGATGATCTCCTTCTTCGGATCGAAGTGTGTAAGCAGTAGGTCCGAAGTAAGAATCTGCTTGAATCGGTCGAACGCCTGTTGACACTCCGTATTCCAATCAAACTTCGATTCTGTTTTGAGGAGGTTATCAAGGGGATAGCGGAGCGCTCGCATATTAGACACGAACTTGCCATAATAGTTAATCGCGCCAAGGAAGGAGCGTACACCAGATACGTCGGAAGGAGGAGGAAGCTTGCTAATCGCTTCAACTTTTGCTGGATCCAGTCGAAGTCCGCTAGCGTCGATGATGTGTCCAAGATAACGAATTTGTCGCTTTCCAAATGAACACTTCTCAGCTCTGATCGTAAATCCGAAGTCTTGAATTCGCTGAAGAACGGCTCGGAGATTGCGGCCGTGCTCTTGCTGGTTTTCACCGCCCACAACAACGTCATCAAGATAACTGGATGTTCCTGGTAGATCAGCTAGCATCGTGTCGATGAGTTGCTGGAAAACTCCAGGAGCAATTTTCACACCCGGCGGAAGGCGGTTGTAGAGGTAGAGTCCACGGTGCGTGTTGATAGTAAGTAGACTCCGAAATTTTTCATCGACCGGTACCTGCAGGAAAGCGTCCGAAAGATCAATCTGACTGAACACTTGGCAGTTCGCTAGCTTGGCAAATATATCTTCCAGTAGAGGCAACGGATACTGGTTCGATTGAAGAGTGGAGTTCAAGCCTGTCGAGTAATCTCCGCAGATCCTAATTGCCCCATTCGCCTTGCGCACGACAACTATAGGAGCAGCCCATTCCGAGTAATCGATTGGCGAAATGATCTTCAGCTTCTCCAATCTATCCAACTCCTGGTTAACGGCATCGTAAATTGCATATCTTAGTCCGAGAATTCAAATGTTATTCCGTAGATTGCGTAGTTTCTTTAAATTGCTGAATTGCATCAGTTGCTAAAAATCAGTCATGTCGGTATTCCATTTTTACCATATTTAGCTGTTTCTATGAAACCCGGGAATTTAACAAACTTCAACTTCACTTGCAACGATTCTCACAAAAATAAACGCAATTTTCACCATTCCGATCATCTAATCCAAGCAGCCATAAATTTCGATTTACTCATCTGCTTTTCATAACACAGAACGGATCCGATTACAAAAAACAAACAGTTGCGCATCGCCTACTGCCACCGCAGATGACGACGCACGGCGACGACGACGCTCGCTCGCTCGCGCGCACTTGTTTTCGAATCTGTTGCCAATTTTCCCATATGCCTACTATGCCAGCAATGTTTAGTTTTTTTTTTAATTCAATTAAAACCGGGAAGGGTGCGCAATGAATGAACCCCTCGATTAACCCGAGGGTTCTCATGCGCGCGCAAGAGTGCCCTCTTCACCGGCGATACCCCCTTCAGATAATGGTAATTGCACGTGTCTGACTAGTTTTTCGTGCGCCCGTTTTGCTTTGTTATTAAAAAAAATATGAACAAGTGTCTTCCACCACCATTCACCAACTGTTTCCCACTCTGTTGCTTTCAGATCTCAACTACTGCGGAACGCACGAGCCGTGCATGCACGGAGGAACCTGTGAGAACACGGCACCGGACCAGTACCGGTGCACCTGTGCCGAGGGTCTGTCCGGGATGCGGTGCGAAGTTGTCGAGCATCCGTGTGCTCCGCAGCCCTGCCGGAACGGTGGCACTTGTACCCTCACCGGAAGTGGACAAGGTTCTGGGCGCGGAGGGTCGGACGACAAGATGGAAGCGACCACCACTCCGATCATCGTCCGGGGGATGCGGGGGATGAGCTCGATGGGAAAGCCGTACGGAAGGAGCAGTTTAGCGGGTGGGGCTGGACCGGGCGGAGGTGACTCTTCGTCCAGTAAGGAGCTATTGTTGCTGCCGCAGCCGATCAAAGATTTCATCTGTACCTGCGCGCCCGGATGGACCGGGCCGACCTGCGAGATAAGTGAGTATTCAGAATCGGGGGGGACCATTAATTATCTATGCGTCGTTGTTCGGCGGTCGGATTTTCTCACTTTTTGTCTCCTACTCCACCATCATCGGTCGTCGTAGGCGAGCGAGGTGAGCCCGAAAAGTTAACTGTAAGCTAATTATTCCAAATTATTAGTTCCAACAAGACCGGTCTAACGGAGGGGAGGTGTCCCTGGAGGGGAGCCATCAACTTTTAGGCACACACGCTTATTATTTAATCGTTTTTGATTATTGTTTAAACATTACTGACTTCCTCCATTGTTGGGGCATGGCGGGATGAAGCATAGATAAATTCTTTAACGAACGAACATCTTTTTCTCGCTCGGTACGTGATGGAAGAATAAAGTGGATTTATTAGAGATTTCACGGCTTACTTTGGCTTCGGTTGGTCGCCTTGCTCTTTCCTACTTTTGCTGCTTCTCATGGACTGCCTGTTTTGTGAGTGATTAGCTCGCGGGAGCAGCGAGCAGTTCAGTCCAACGAAGTAGGCGACGGTTGTGGAAAGGAAAACGAGTAATAATTGTGAACTTTCTTTCACCAAATCTAATCGAATCTTTTGAAGCGAAAGGGTGAACAGCATCGAGCTCTGACGGTCATGACGACGATGACGACGACGACGACGACGACGAGGTAAAAGGTGTGGGAGATTCTTGGAAATTGGAATCCAATACGATGCGTGGAATGTGGGGAAATATGTTTCTCCGAGTTTGTTTGTGCTTCTGACAGTTTGTATTTGTCAGCGCAATGAATAGTTGTCAACGGGTTTTGAAAAATGGATTTTTCTCCGCCTTCCGCCTGACCAGCTTCAATTTGTTCTGCTAATCTTCCATAACAAATAAACAATAGAGTGCCCAAAACTGAGGCTCATCACCTGGGGATGTAATTCTATAAAGAACCGGCGCGGATTATGCCGCCTTTGCACTTGGTTCAAAATGCGATAAATCGAACTCAGCAAGCTTCGACATGGTGGTTGCTTTGATCGCGTTTGAGTCAGAATTAACCACAACCAAATTGATAACCGTGACGAACCACGGCAACAACGAACGGCTAGAACTAGAACTATCGGGCGTAATTATCCGGTTAGCTACGGTCATCGTCCGCAAGCTAGAAGCGTTCTTTTGGCCTGGCGCCATTCCGTGGTAGATTCGGCGGGAGATTCAGAGATCAATCATCTGTCACAACAGTGAATTGTGGATGCTGATGTTTGGAATTCTTTTCCGTTTTAGATATCGACGAATGTGCGGAAGGGCCTTGTCAGAACGGGGGCACCTGTATTGACATGGTCGGGAAGTTTCGCTGCGAATGTCCACCCCAGTGGACGGGAGAAACGTGCAATATCGGTGAGTTGCTTCATTTACATGTCAAGCGTTGAGTCTCAATAGAAAACCCTTTCTTTGATTAGACGTAGACGAATGCGAAACAAACGTTGCCTCCGGGCTGGGACCCTGCATCAACGCCGAATCCTGTCGGAATCTGCCCGGGTCGTTTCAGTGCAGCTGTCTGGAGGGTTGGGGCGGTCCGACCTGCGCCCAGAATCTGGACGACTGCGTGGGCAGATGCAAAAACGGTGCCACCTGTATCGATCTGGTCAACGACTATCACTGCGCCTGCAGCGTTGGCTACACGGGTAAGTTCCTCGTAACCGATTAATCAATCAATCAATCAAATCCACGCGTGTTACCTGCTGAAAGAAACACCCCTAACCGTCGTCGTCGTCGTCGTCGTCGTCGTCATTGTCGTCGTCATCGTCGATTGGACCCTTAATTGATACGCACGACTGGCACAGCTTTCTTCGATGCCGGCGACCTCACGCAATCACGAATCGAAGTAGGCCAATCCTAACCTTAGTTTTATCTCAATCTTCTTCCTTCTCCAACAACACAGGTCGTGACTGCAGTACCGATATCAACGAGTGCGCAAACTTCCCCTGCCGCAACGGGGGCGAATGCGTCGATCTGATCGGCAACTTCAAGTGCATCTGCCCGCTCGGCTACTCCGGAACGTTGTGTGAGGTAAGTCCCCGGAGCATTTCTATCTTTTTTTCTGTCGTTCCAACTCATTCGTTATTCAAATATTGTCCGCCTGTAGAAAAAAAAAAGCCCATTTAGAGGGTTCAAACAACGCTCTGACGTTAATGTATTATTAACAGTTATTAATAATTCCGTCGGTTTTCCACCTCTCTCAATATCGAACCGTGTGTGTGTGTGTGTGTGTGTATTTAGAGATGTCTAATCTTTTCATTGGGACAGTTGTGTTTGCGTGTGTGTGTGAGTGTGGCTGGAGGAATCCCCAGCGTGACCATCAATCTAAATAAATTCACTCCGAAGTTTTCGATTCTGTTTTCGGTTTGTTCGAATTTAAAGTTGGACTGCTGCTGCAGCAGCAGTTAATCGGTTCACAATGAGCTGAAAAGCGATTGTAGAGCTGTGCGTGCTGACATCTAAATAAGCTCGAGGCCTGTGAGCGATGCGAGCTATTTTTCCTGAGTCGCTGCTGGGGCTTGGATGCACGACGGGGGTAGGTTCGTCCATTCAACCACGCGCCGCGTTGAAGTCTCTTGTGGGTTGGCTGGACGGGGAACAGTGGTGCTGGCTGGTGCTGGTGCGATATTGCAGATGGTTTTGGGGCTTAGATGGGATGTCAAAACTAGTATTCCATTGTTTACATTGGCAAATGCTTTACAATTCAGCACAGAATGATGAACATTTGTTTTGTGTGGTCAGGATTGGTAGCACATAATTCCATTAACCTCTTAGGAGATCTAATTCTATTTTTCAATTAAGAAAGCATTGCAGTTCAGTTGATAGTTCTTTGGTTAATTACACGTTCAAACTGTAGCTGACATTACTTAATATAGGCTGTATTGATATGAATACTAGGGTGCTTACTTTTTGCAAATATGGCAGCCACCCTCCAGTTTGATTCATAACCTTCAAATCCCAAGTAATAATTCAACTGCCTTTTGGCTTTCACTCTGATTTATTGTGGTTTGTTTTATAACGGCAATGCATTTGTTTGTAGTTTAAAACAGTGTTTAATATTGCAAAACATTCTTGACTAGTAGTTCAGCTCTTTTCTGTTTTAAAAATCTTTGAAAGTTTGGCGATAAAGTCAAAAAGTGGTTCTGAAAATGAATTTAATGTAGTAACTCCTATCCCTTCCTCCCGCGGCGCCGGCTGGCGTACGATTAACCTTAGGGAAGATCGGGTAACCAACCCCGATGGGAGCTTTGGTCGTATGCTGACAGGGAAGGGGGAGTTGCATCCTTTTCGGAGGATGTGGCTTACAAAACCCGAGCGTCTATTCTCCATGTTAGGGGCGGCTCAAACAGCGTCTAACTGGCATCCAGCGGCTGAATACGAAATGCTTCTCCCCGAAAGCTATACCCAAGATGGCAGTCCCATCGTGGCGGATAGGAAACCTTAGGCCAACCACCTAATGTCTCCGAAACCTTCAAATTGTTACAGAAACCTATAGTGAAAGATTACGAACTGATTTTATGGCAACGACTTTTAGCGCTAAACAACGGACAAGAATTGGAACATGGAATGTACTGACGCTAGCCCAACAGGGTAAACTGGCACACCTCGCCAGTGAGGCCCACGTGGGACTTAGTGAAGTCCGCTGGCCGAACTTTGGAGAACACAAGCTGCCTTCGGGACAGGTACTTTTATATTCTGGTATGCGAGGTGAAAACGCTCCGCGACATCGCGGAGTTGGCTTTCTGCTTAGCGCCCAAGCACAGGCTGCGCTCATCAAGTGGGAACCTATCAATGAGAGAATAATCGTTGTCAGATTCAGAACACCGGTCCGAAACCTTACCATAATCCAATGTTATGCGCCAACCGATGCTGCCAAATTGAAGGACAGTCAACTGAATGCTATCGTGGAAAAGACTCCAAGAGGTGATATCAAGATCTACACAGGCGACCTCAATGCGAAGATCGGCTCCGACAACTCGGACTATGAGCGCATTATGGGACGCCATGGTCTCGGAGATATGAGCGAGAACGGCGAGCTGCTTGCAGAGTTTTGTGGCAACAACGGCTTAAAGTCACATGGGTCTCCCGTGATGGATATACAGAGAACCAAATCGACCACATCTGCATCAGTCGAAAATGGAGACGGAGCCTTCTTGATGTTCGGAATAAACGCAGCACTGACATCGCGTCTGACCATCATCTCCTGATTGGTGAGATCCGCCTACGCATTGCGCGGGTCCAACGGCGGGAGGAGAGACTCGGGCGGCGATTAAACTCACGCCGACTGGAAGACCCAGCAGTGAAGAGATCGTTCGTCGAAGAACTCGAGGCTCGCGCAGCTAATATTCTGGAAGGTGGCAGCGTAGAAGAACAGTGGACGAGCATCAAGAATGCCTTTATTGAAACAAGTGAGAACAACCTGGGAGAGCTGCGCACTCAGAGAAAGGAGTGCATCACTGATGAAACCTGGAGGAAGATCGAGGAGCGAAGAGAAGCAAAAGCCGCGATAGAGCGAGTAAGGACCCGAGGAGCCAAGAACGAGGCCCGTCAGCGGTATTCGGCCCTAGAGAGGGAAGTTAAGCACTCCTGTATACGGGACAAGCGAGCGTGGGTGGACTGATGAAGGGGAGAAAGCCGCAGCAACTGGCGATATCCGCCTCCTCTATGATGTTTCACGACGCCTGAGCGGGGCAAGGATGAACCCAAGGATGCCTGTGAAAGACGCGACTGGACAGTTGCTAACCGACCCCACTGACCAGTTGAAACGTTGGTTTGAGCACTTTGAACAACTTCTCGAAGTTTCAACGGTCAACCAACCATCAACATCTCGGCATGATCCGCCAAGGGTGAGGCGCGTTACTCGCGCCAACACTGAAGCTCCATCATTGCAGTGGATAGAAGCAGCCATCCGAAGTATGAAGTCCAACAAAGCCCCGGGGGTCAATCGCATATCAGCAGAGATGCTCAAAGCTGACCCCATGCTATCCTCACAAATGTTGCATCAACTATTCGTCAATATCTGGGACACCACGACTTTTCCGGCCGACTGGATGCAGGGCGTCTTGGTCAAAGTCCCCAAGAAAGGGGATACAACTGTATGCGACAACTGGCGAGGCATCATGTTACTGTGTATTGTTCTGTGTAAAGTTATCCTCAACCGGATACAGGAGAAGATCGACGGAACTCTCCGACGACAGCAGGCAGGATTCCGTGCTGGAAGATCCTGTGTGGACCATATTGTCATGCTCCGCATCATCTTGGAGCAGGTTAATGAGTTCCAAGAGTCCCTGTACTTGGTATGGACTACGAAAAAGCTTTCGACCGACTAAACCATGAAAACTTGTGGGGCGCTCTGAGACGCAAGGGAGTCCCTGATAAGATCGTCAACCTCATCGAAGCGCAGTACGAGGCTTTCTCATGCAGAGTGTTGCACAACGGAGCTTTGTCTGACCCGATTCGGGTAATCGCGGGTGTGAGGCAAGGATGTATATTATCTCCGCTACTGTTCCTACTGTTGACCGAGTACCGAACCGTGGGTTGATGTGGCATCCTATTACCATGGAGCATCTCAACGACTTCGATTTGGCTGATGATGTTGCGTTATTAGCACAACGGAGCTCTGACATGCAGAGTAAGCTTGACGACCTTGTGGAACGCTCCTCTGAAGCAGGTCTAACCATCAACGTCAACAAGACCAAATCGTTGGATGTCAACACGGAAAACCGTTCCAATTTCACGGCAGCTGGGCAGGCAGTGGAGAAAGTCGAAAACTTCCAATATCTTGGCAGCCAGATAACGTCGGACGGCGGCACAAAGAGTGACATAGGGGCACGGATTAAGAAGGCGAGGGCTGCTTTTGCCAGTTTGCGAAATGTATGGAGAGCGAATCAGATCAGTCAACGCACCAAAATCTGAATTTTTAACTCGAACGTGAATTCTGTGCTGTTATACGCCAGTGAAACATGGTGTGTATCAGCGGAGAACACTCAGAAGCTGCAGGTGTTTATCAACCGATGCCTGCGGTGCATAATTCGTGTCTGGTGGCCCCACAATTGGATCTCAAATTCCGAGCTTCATCGTTTGTGCCATCAGAAGCCGATAGAGACAGAAATTCGTGAACGGAAGTGGAGGTGGGTCGGCCACACACTACGACGGAACGGAAACGAAATCTGTAAGCAAGCGCTGGATTGGAATCCGGCAGAACATCGCAGCAGAGGCAGATCCCAACGCTCGTAGCGGCGGAGCCTAAACAGTGAAATTAAGAACGTTGACCTAAATTTGACTTGGGCACAGGTCAAGGCCAAAGCTAGTAATCGCCCAGGATGGAAATCTACATTAATCATTAAACATCTTTTTGTGATCCTGAAGTCTTCTAGTCTCCAAAATGTCCTGGAGTTAAGATTGTAATGTCCTGTTGGCTCAATGCGGTTTGATGCGCAAATTTCCGAGCCCTTAAAAGTTATATGATGCCATGCGCGCCTTAGAATGATTTCAATAAGATATTCAATGTCCTCCAAACCATTCTAGAGCTAATATCTTGAAGTTATATACACACTTGGATTTTTTAGGTCAAGATAGACACTACCGAGCAGCTCGGAATTTCATTTTACTGGATCTTAGTAAAAAACTTTCTGTGATTCAGCTAACTAACGGGAATTATGCCGAGATCTCCGCTAACAAACATAAATTTAGCTGAATCTCGGCAAGTTTTTCCCTAAGTTCCAGCAAAATAAAATGCCGAGCTGCTCGGTGGGCAAAAAAATCTAAGTGTGTAGGCTCAATATAGCTTCAAAATTGTCCTGAAAATCCATATGAAGTCCCAAAAGTTCATGGAATGATTTCAATAAGATACTTGTTGCCCTTCAAAGTTCAGATCTTGGAGATCTACAGGCTCAATGAAGTCTCGAACAATCTTCTGAAATTCTGGTTGAGTCCGGGAAGCTCAAGTGAGCCTTTTGTACTATGTTCATCACCGACTTTGTTCAATAAGATGTTCAATGCACTCCAAAGTATTCTGGAGTTAAGATCTT